ACAAACGAGCAAACCATACGTATCTCGAATATCTTTCATTTATGAATGCACACAAAGGATTATTTTGTCATTTCAAAAATACTTCATGCCTTCTTGAATACTTTATTCTAAAATACTTTCCTATTTATACATCATAAATTTATATGTCGTGAAAAAAAAAAAAAGAAAAAGTGTATATGTTACAAAATTTTTAAGCCACTCTTCTGAGATAAATAATTCAAAAAACTACTTGGAAAATCTTGAAACCTGTTAAAAAACTCATTTTATTATATGGAAGAAAAATATTCGATTTTTCAATAAAATTAGCTTTTGTCATTATTTTTACAACTCCTGATGCTTCGAAATATACTGATCAGATGCAGCGTGAAAAACTGCGTCTAATGAGTATATTTCGAAGTGTCTGTAGTTGTAAAAATAATGACCAAAGTTAATTTTATTGAAAAATCGATTGTTTTTCTTCCATATAAAAAAATGAGTTTTTTAACAGGCTTCGAGATTTTTCAAGTAGTTTTTTGCATTATTTATCTCAGAAAAGTGGCTTAAAATTTTTTTAACATATACAGCTTTGTAGAGCTCAACGAGCTCTATCGAACCATGTAAAAATATTCACGAAAAAATGTTTACACCATTTTTGAATTACTAGCGCCTTCATTTTCTAAGCCAAAAAAGAATAAAATTTCTGAAAATTTATTAAGTTCGCCATTAAAAAGTTTTGATAACTCTTACTATTTAGTATCAATCAATCCCGTTTTCGATGAGCTTTCATTTGGTATAAAAATTCATTACTTATTCTATTTGAAATTATAGCGTTACCTCCCTGGAATAATATTTTTACCCATCCTGTATGATAAAAATGACTCACCATGAGTAGACGATTGATATTTTCACAAAGAACAGTAGAAAATAAATTTAATAAATATACTTTAGCATGTTTTCTAATCAGGTACTTTGTGAATAATGATTTCAATAGAGTAAAGAAAATCATTAATAGTGGCTCAAATATTACAAATATATATTTTCTATGTATCTACAACTTTGTATATTGCAAAAATTTTTAAAAAAATTGAAAATGATCCGAAATCTGGGAGAAACTCATTCTCTCTGGGCAATTTTATTCGTTAGAGATGCGATTTCGAAAGTTAAAAATGTTTGCATTTCTGAGCTTGAACATATCTTTCAGCAAATTTTTATATAACAGAAGTATGTCGAGTTATGCTAGATACTTTGAAAGAAGCAATTCGATCAACCTCAATTCTGTCGAGTTACTATTGAAAAATCATCGTTGCCAATGTAACACAAAAATAGGACAAAAATTTTCACTGCGTGCGTTTCCTCGTAGAAGTTTTGCAAGTTCAAAGAGTAATTTCGAAAACAACATAGTATGTTGTAGAGGAATGTTCAAACTACAAAATATTCACGCAAAGTTTTGCTTGAACATGCTTAGACTATTCAAAAACCATATGAAAATGTATTGATAACTAAGCAAATTTTCTTACTTTTTACCAAAATAATGTCATGCCTCCATGAAGTGTCGATAAAATGTAAGAAAATTTGTTTAGTAATCAACACATTTTCTTTGAGTATTAGCAAGCAAACACACGATTTCATTGATACAAGATTAGGACGTGCGGATATAATCATTCGCATTATATCTAGAACTATAAATCCGAAGTCTCTCTATCAGAGGTCCAACCAGGCCGTGTTTTTCAGGCCTGTACGGCCTGTCAAGGCCTGGTATGTTTTTCAAGCGTATCCGATAATGATAAAATACTGAAAATGAGATGTGCAAACAGGGCACTAACACTACTGCAGAACCCGAACCTGACCTGCCTGTTATTGGCAACACCCCTGATTTTCAGATCGATGAAAGTCACAGGCTCACGCAATTATGGGCCTGTAGGCCTGCCTGGGCCTGTCACTTTCACTATTCTGAAAACTATGAGTGTTACTTATAACAGACTGGCCAGGCTCGGGTTGAGTAGTAGACTTAGTGCCCTATTTGTACATCCCGTTTCCGGTCTTTTATCATTATCGTATACGCTTGAAAAATCTACCAGGCCTTGACAGGCCGTACAGGCCTGAAAAACACGGCCTGGTTGGACCTCTGCTCTCTATCTAAATCACATGTCAAAATCGAAATTTCATCAGAATGGCAGATTATTTTGATGTACGTTTTCAAATATTTTGCGGAAATGATTGACTTGAAAAAGATTTCCTCTTACATACTGTCGGGGATGAGACGTCTCGAGGTCTTTTCTTTTGATTGCTGAAAGCCACAGATCGCTAGCTATTGCCGTTATAGTGTTATTGAGCTTACTCTCTAAAAAAAATTTGTTTCCTGGAAAACCCTAACTCGCTCGAAAACCTCTTCTCAAACCTTTAGAAGCTTGCATTAAAGTTTCTCAGAATACCTTCTTGGTTTCAAAAAATACCAATTTCAACATCCAGAAAGTACTTTAGCATATCTTTCTCTTTTTATGAGAAGTCTATTAGAGTTTTTAGATACGGTTAAGGTATTTTAGGAAACTAATATTGTCAGAAAAACTGAGTTGATGTCCGAAGAGGCTTTCAGAAATATCCTATCGATGATCGGATGGCTTCTAAAAGTCCTAAGTCTCGGTACTTCTACACTTCGTCCCCTTACCATTCGTTTCAATTACATTTCGTCCCATATTGTAACTATTCATTTACATTAGAGCAATATTAAATAGAGTTTATTAAAATAAATTCAAGTGCTTATTTTCAAGTTTATAGCAATTCGAGTTAAATATTCCTCGATATTGTTAACATCATAAGACAGCGTGATTCTTTCCAATCGTGCATCAAGATTTGCATAAACTTTCCTTTTTTTCTTTGGTTGTTCACCTGCACGAAGTCTTTCAATATTGATCTGAAATTTAGATTGTTCACGTAATATGCATTTTACAAGTTTAGTTATAGAAGGATGTTTAATTGAAACGCGACTATTGAATGCATGGTGCCATCCATCGACAACGTTATTAGATCTTGGTAAGTCTTGTATAACTTGTTCATAAATACTCCATAATTGTAAACTAAATTTTGGTTTACTGCGTCGACTGCCTAAATTAGCGCTATACACTATTAAATACATCAAACACGTAAGTCTAAAATGATACAGACCTCTTCCCTTCTTTTGACCAACCGAAACTCGTTCAAAATAATCAACTAAAGAATAATCTTCATCATCAAAATTATTAATCATAGATGAATAACCTTTAAGAACATCAGGAACAGGTACGAATGCAAGAGCCATAAGTTTTTTCACGTTCATTCTAAATTTCTTATCATTGGTATACTTGTTTTGAAGACCTAATGTCTGCACTTCTTGCCACAAACATTGTCCGAAGTGAAATAAGCAACATATATTTATAGCGAAAGTCATTTTTCACTGACACAAAATTTTATATAAAAATTTACCTATTTGAATAGCATCTGGAAAAAATGATTTAGTCGATTTAAGTGTAGCACCTGCAAAATCAACTAAAATAGATTCAGATCCATAATCAAACTTTAATAACAGTTGCTGAAAAAAATTATTATAATCATTTGTATCTTTTCCAATAAGTAAAACATATACAAGGGGAATAATTTGAAATGAACACATGCCATGAACAGTAAATAATTGATAATAACTTTTGGGACATATCTAAATAACAGCAGTGTCACAAATCCAGGAAATCGGGGATGCTGGAGAAGTGTAGGGAGAGGGAGCATCTCCTGTCTGGATCCTAGGCTGAAAATCAATAACAAATTTGCATTGGGAGATGCTGGGAGATGCCGCAGCTCCAAGCACATCTCCCCAGGAGACGCGACATCTCTACGCATATCTCTCCAGCGACACTAAGGCAGGAAACACACACAGCCATATCTCACAAGTGTGGGTGAGGGAGAAAACACGAACATACACAGCCATATCCATAATGTAATCCTCTGTTAATAGTTAGCCTGGCATCTCCCACATCTCCCTGCACTTCTTCAGCATACCCGATTTCCTGGATATGTGACACCTCTCAAAAATTAACGATTGTGATTATTTTTTGAATAAAATTGATAATGTTATTGTTAATAGTATAGAATCAGATAAAGCATCCTTTACATTATAAAATGTTTCATGACAATCAGACTTAGATATTATAATCAGAACCCATGTTTGTTGTGTTCCTACTTTTTTTAATAAATAAATTAAAGATAACTGTTTGAATAAAGTAAACGATAATAAAAATTCGAAAAATACTTTTATATGCATAAAATGTTTCTTTCGTGTCGGATTCGGATCTGGACTCCATCCGTACACGACCGGTTCCAAGACCAACTTGACGGATTCTAACAGCAGAATCAGTAATACAGAAAAACATTTTGTTTCGTTTATTTGGCTTAGATCATAAAACAATAATCTGTTTGTATATGTAGAACATACCAGCCCTATTTATAGAAATGGCGAGAGAAATATTCGTTTTTTTTGCTACTCACAGAATAGAAAGCAATATACTTACTTTAAATAAAGTTGGTTTGCACTCAAGTAACGCTAGTATAAGGACATTTTTCGTCATGCGAATATTTTGTTCAGAAGCGACCTATTTCTTCATTTTTGGATCAATAATCGGAGATCACTAAACTGTCGGTGATACTTTCGACTATTGCTGGCAACGCCTCAGTCATCGATTTCCATGAAGTGAAAAATTGTAACTGAAAGAAAATAATCAAAACAAAAAGGAGGAAAGTCAAAACTTGATTGAAACTACATTAGTCTTTATGTGATCGGTGTATGGGAATTGATTTTGCTGAACCATTGCGAGTAACGAGAGAAGGTATCACACACAGTTTATTGTTCTTCGATTATTTATTCAAACATGAAGAATAGATCAATCTCGAATGAAATATGCGTATTATAAAAGATATTTCTATCACTGAGTTACCTGTGTGCCCACCTAATTTATTTGTACCAAATATATTTTTGTCTATTTGCTACGCAATACAAACAACGAATCTTTCTTTCTTCATTGATATAAGTAGCCTCTTATATTGCACATATGCTAACAGATTTTTTTATTGTATTTTATCAAAATCAAAGCCACGAAACAAAATGGTTGTTGTATTACTGCTGCTGCTGTTCATTCCAACATCGGCTCCTCTCATAGCATCGCTGACATGTGAAGAATCTGCGTTTCAAACATACTATTCGTTGTTGGCAGACATCTATCAAATTGTGACAATTACACAATCACACAACTCCTACAAATGTGTGAACCTCACAGGCCAATGCATCACCGGTGGTTCCATTCTAGCAGTGCTTTATATTAATAAAAGTTGTGAGTGTGCATTCATCACCGTCCACCATTCGTAATATTACATGAACGACAACAAAAAGGGTTGCCAGGTCTTCTGAGAAAAAAAGGGAAAGTTTCTGAAATTTGAACATTTGTCTGATTTTAGTACCTTCACCTGTTTTTTCGAATTTTACACATTTTAAGATGACAGCTTTGCTAGTGAAACTACGTGCAATTGTAACTCATTAGAATAATAAGGATCCCTCACCCTTCTACGGTTCGTCCCATATTTGTCCAGTACTTCAAACTTGTCTCTCATATTATTTTCTCAATCCGTCACCATACATATGGCTTGTTTTTAATTGATTCTCAATTGGCCACTTTTCTAATTCTTCCCTAGATTGTTTCTAGTGAAGCAGACTAGCTAAAATATGAAACTTTGACATCATAAATATTTATTAGCGATGAGACTACAGGATGAAGAACTAGACAGCGTTATAGCACACTGTTGTTATTTTTTTCGATAATCGAGTCTTCATAGCTCGGTCTTACTTTACTACCAACTGAACATCATACAAAATGCCAAGGAAAACAAAGAGAAAAATGATCGAATGCTGTAGGATCACCAAACAGTGTCACTGGTGGATGTTGACTAAAGTCAATCGTAACTGAAAATGTTGAATTAAACATAAAATTGACTATCTATGAAGGAAGATGGAAGAAGGGACAGAATGAGAATCAATTTAGAACGAGCTATTTATGCAAGGAAAGAATATGGAACAAGCCGGGAGTAAACCGAATAATAGATCAATTCTACCAGATCTTTTTTTCTATTAATCATTGGTAGTTTCTGAGTTACACAACGATCTAATAAATTGAAGTTGAATAAATTTCTTGTTTTTGTCCATTTAAATGGTCTTATCTTATTTTATATCACACAAATAATTATTGATTTGACGAACGACATAAATATGATTGAAATACCTATATTATATCAAGTACACTTGTTAAAGGAAATTCGAAGAAATGCAAAATATGAATAGTAATATCGAGATGATGCTATATAATCTTTTTTTTTTCTTTGGTTCGATCGATTAACTGATACCATATATATGTGGGTTTTTTGTACCTTTTTTTGTGAAACGGTTTCAAGTTGAGCAAAACAGTTTGACACTAACGAGAGCAGGTCAGCAACTCTTCAATCGATTTTGAGCGGAGGCTAAGCGCCTTATGTAGATCCAGATGAACTTTGGAAAACTTAATAAGAGTTCAGGCAATTAGCTTATTGCTACGGACATACTGTACTTTTATGGTATTGCTTTTAATAAATGCCGTGACCCCTCTCAGAAATACCAGAAAACCTTACTTTTGAATTTCGACTTGAAATTTTATATAGAGATAGATATTAATAAGAAAAGTTTATTGTAGAAATTTTAGGCCTTTTCATTCGCTTCTATTCTAAAATAAGACCATGAAATCTGCTGGTTCATATGAGTTATGTAAAATACACGCTATTATCATAGTTCTATCTTAACATACGGACAATAAAAAAATCTGAAGCACCCATAACAAACTATTCTGATCAAGATCTGTCTCTATGCAAATTTTCAAGTTGAAACTTCAAAGTAAGGTTGTGTGTATTTCCGAAGAGGGGGGGGGGAGGGCGGTGGCGTTTATTTAAAAAATATCGTAAAAGTAAAGTATCTCCGTAGCAATAAGCTAACTGCCAGAACTCTTTTTAGGTTCTTCGTAGCTCATCTGGTTCTGCATAACGTTCATAATCTTTATACAAAAGCTATTGCATAGTTGGTGACTTTCTCTTGTAGGTTTTTTTATGAACTTTTTTCTATTAGCTAAACAAAATATTCATTGTATTATCTTGCTTTATAGTGAAACACAATTGAAAATAAACTATAAGTCAATGAACGGAAGAACCAGTAGAGCATTGGATGCTAGCATGCTAATATAATACATAGTGGTTTGCAAAAAATTGACCTTTCTGATTAATTTCTGATTTTTCAACTTTTTGATCTAGTAACTCTGGTATGAAGGACAGACGGATGATATACATTTTAATATGACACTGAAGCAAACAAATGAATAAAATTGTTCCATTGGTGAATAAACTGATGCAACAAGGACGCTCAATTAGAAGCTTTGTTTTGGAGAAATAATATTAGGAAGACATAATTTGTCATCAATGTTCGTTGAAATAATTATTTATATCACAAAAACTAGTCGAACATGTACATTGTGCCTTCATACTTCGATCGTAAGTACAACTTGATGAACTCTAATCAAAAGTATTAACTACTACTCTATTAAGTGACACAAAAGGCATTTACAAACCAAATATTATCTATATTTTGTATCTTTCATCATTGAGCTGGTTTTCAATCAAAATGATATTCATTTGATGAGTACTGTTGAGCAATAGAAACATCTAGAATAGCTTGGCTTTCCGGACCTTCGTCCTAGGGATATCAAAATTTTACTGGATTTTTGAAAAAAGACTATAATTTTCTTCATGTCACATGAGAAATGGGCTTTCGAATTTCGATTGCAAACGTTGTACGAACAAAATTTTTAATGAGATTAGTTTGTTGGACAAGCTGTTACTTTTTCAGTGCCTTCTATCCTGAGATATTAAACATTTTAAATCCTCTCATGTGTAAAAGTTAATTTTATTCGTATATTTACATCTCCACAAAGGAAACACTAGAAAAGATAAAACTTCCACAAGTAACTGATCCCATTAAGAGCTTTGTTTGTGTAAAATTTGAAATCGACAGTCTAGTTTCTACGTTATCTCAGGAAACTACAGCTTTTTTTTGAAAAACCCATTATAAAGTTTCAATGGCTCAAGAACAAAAGTCCGGAAAACGAAACTATTGCAGACTTTTCCATTATTCACTAATACTCACAAAATGAACATCATTTTGATCGAAAATCAATTTGACATCTGGAGAAGTTCCCTTCTTAGTTTTTCAAACATACACTCAGA